GGTTAGGTAGTATCCATTGGTTTGGAAGTAGGTTATGGTCAGAGGGTTTAAATGGGTACCCCCTAGTTGGTGTACAGGTACAGCAGATAGTGTAGAACCTTTGGGCGGACTACTTAAATTAGGCACTCAAAAGATGCATGTGTGGCTATATATACCCTTACTGTAATTGAAAAACATAACTACCTAATAAAATGTTCCCTGGCCAAAGAGGTCACCTTAATACCGGAAAAAATATATATATATATATTTTAAAGAGATGTTTATACACTATACTATATACATCTTAAAATCTTAAGAAATTCCTCATTTGCTTAGATTATAGTGTCTAAATCAATATAGTTATTCTGTATTTATTTGTATAACTGATATTTATTTATCTGAATTCAAATTTATATATAACTATTCTATGTTGAATTGTTCAACTTTTTCTAAATAAGCTTACATTCAGTTTAGCATGACAATGTCGAGCTATTTATATACTAATTTATAGTTCTTTAGGTCTGAATATATCAAAATAATTACTATTTTTTTTAAAAAATAATACCTGATTAACCAAGTCTAGAGATAGTTGTGTATATTTTGCAAATATGTAATTACCAGTAGTTGAAAACAATCTCTCGCTTGGTACAAAAATAGCAGGAATTAACAAATACTTCTGTGCAAGACATGATAGAACAGGAAACCAACTTTATTAATTCTCTATCAATTTAAAAGATCAAGATCAATGTCGATCTGCTAAATTCTCATATAACATAAAACTTTATCCTCCTCAGCTTCAGATGCACTACCACTCACTTTATTTTCCAAAGCTTCAAAAAAATCATTATTATTTGAACAATTATAAAACATCGTTTGTTGTTGCATATTCATATCTGTGAGTTGGGAATCCTCTTTCATAGAATCGTATAGTTTTTGCAGTAATTCAAGTGACTTTTCTCTTTCTTCAAACATATTGTCTCATCTAAAGTCTTTAAATCGGGGATCCAATATTGCTGCGATTCAAACTAAATCTGATGGTGCAGACCATAATTTATCTAATGATAAGTAGATTGCTGCTCGAACTTTTTGAAAAAGGCCAACAGTATCAGTAGCCGGTAACAATTCGATTCAATTAAAGTCATCTATATTTATTTCTTTTTTAGTATCTTTGCGCTAGTTAATTGTTTTCCCTCTACCTTTTCCTCTTCCTCTTCTCTTAGTCATTCGCATTCTTTTCTGAAATTGATGATGGGCATATTGCCAATACCATCATGAACCACCAGATGAAATTTCATTATTGTCACTAGCTAAACTATTAGATTCTTCTTCATCACCATCTTCACATTGTTGTCCATATACTAAGTTGAGGTATGTATCAAAGCTTTCTCCTTTTTCGCACTTAGGAGCAAATATTTTTTTTAATATTTCAATATAGAGATGGACAACTTAAAGTACAATACGTAGCTCCGCATATTCGGCGTGTTATTTTTTCAAATAGAGATAAAAGCTTTATTGCATCTTGAAGAAATCTTAATTAGAGTTTAATAATAGTTAATAAAAATTTAATTTTTAGCCAGGGTAAAGTCATTCAATAGGCTGTAGTGATAGTTATATGGGATCTTTGCTAGAAAAATCACCCTTCAGGATTTTCTGATCGGGCAATTCAGAAAAGCTTAGACCAGAATGCCGCTTCTTATTTATATGTAAATCATCTTTTGCTTTATTAATTCGATAGTTTATTAAATAAACTGTCAAACCAGTAAAGTAAAAAAATGGCTTACATATAAATAAAAAGCAGCATTTTGGTCCAAGCTTTTCCAAATTGGCCTGATCGAAAAATCTCAAAGGGTGATTTTCCTAGCAAAGATCTCATATAACTAAAATCAATAGTGTTAAATGGCTTTAACCTAGTTAAGCAAAATTTTTCAATAATAGTAAAGGGTTTCAAAATTAGAAAAAGATTAAACTTTTAATAAAAATTCAAATTTTTAGCTAGTTAAGGTTGCCAGGTAAGACTACGCAATATTAATTTTTTATTTTATATTTGAATCTGAAAATTGGGTTAGTTAGTCAATTTTTTTTTTTTTAATCTATTATAAATTAATGTTAGTCCTATCAGATATAAAGGAAGTTAGTGTTTCTATCAGATAGCACCAGGTAAAAAGCAGGGGAAAAAATGAATACAAAAATCGAATAATTACTGTGCTTTTCAAATTACTATATCCATCAAATGATCATCAATCACACAGAAATCTGGAAATTTTAGCATTTTTTTCATAAATAAATCTAATTAACATGTCTAGAAATGAAATTTCTCAAGATTCCCCATTATATTTAGATTCAACAATACTGCCTCTAGTAGTACATTAGAGCTAGTAGCTGGTTTGTTCGAAATGATATCAAAATTTCCACAAACAAAAAGAAAATCTCTGGAAATTTTAATATTACTTTGTTACAATAACTACCAGATCTAGTATACTACTAGAAGTGATGCTGAAGAATCAAAATATAATGGGGAATCTTGAGAATTTTTTGTTTCTGTTATTTTAATTAGATTTATTTATAAGAAAGTGCTAAAATTTGCAAATTTCTGTATAATGGGCGATCATTTGATAGATACAGTAATTTGAAAAGCTAAAAAATTTTTTTAAAAAATTAAAATAGATTAGTCAGATAATACAAAACAAAAAAAAACTAATTTTGCATAGTCTAAGCTATAGGCAATCACATGGCTAAAATTATGGTGCTAATAGTGTTAGAAATCTTATGATTTCATGTTCTCATAAGAGTATACCTTTAGATTTTAAACCATTTGATATTCTCTAAATGTTCTCTATTAAATAAGTATAATTGTATAGAACTAAAATTAGAAATTGAACGAAATTCTGAAATTATCCAAAAAGAAAATAAATGAACATAAGCCGAGAAGAGTTGGGGCAAAAATTTGAGCCAATGTTCGAAATAATAAATTTAAAAATAGGGATATAAATAAATTTTACTAATGAGAACATAGATAAATTTCCGAGAATATCAAATTGTTCTCATGAGAATATAAATCTCAAACCAGATTTCCAATGCTGGGTGCTAGTAATATTCTGGGTAGCTTTAACCTGGTTAAATAACATTTACAGAACCTGAATTTTGAAACTCCTTATACGCAATTTCTCTAATCTTACTGCTTTTCATCACGAGATAGACATAGCCGTTGCAATTTTTTGCCTTCTTGTTGTGATATTCGGTCAGACTTTGTTAATAATGTGGTAAAAACATAGAGCATTGAATTATGTAGCTCTATTATTTTTTTCTAGAAATAATATACTGAATTCCACCTGGTTTTTACATCGGTTAAAACATCAAGTGGATTATAATCATCATAATTATCTAGTAATTGGTCAGAATTTTTTTGGGCTTCCCAGAGCTTTTGAGCTTGTTTTGGCAAACAAAAAAATACCTGCAAACATTTTACACGACAATGCACTTGCTCGCACTGCTTTAGGCCTTGTAAAACTGAAAGCTGTAAGGTATGTGCTGCACAAGGCTGTTATTTAACCTCAGATAGATGTTCACTTAATAATCGAATACTTTTAACCATATTTGCTCCACTATCAGTCGTAATAACAAATATTATGTTTGATAAATTCCAATCATTATTAACTTGAAATAACTCGGCACTAATAACCTCACCAGTATGTGGGTATGGAAGATGGTTACAAGATAAAAGCGCTTCACAAAACTTGAAGTTAGATAATAACTATGTTGCTGTTATACCGAAATACCTATGACCTGATTTTGCAGTCCATAAATCAGTAGTCAAATGAACAGCAATACTATTATTTAAGAGTAAACGAAGCTGCTCCTTGCTCTACAAAAATGAATCATAAATTAAGGCCTTCACTGTTTTGTCACATGTGATTCTATAACCAGGCTCACAAGTATGAAGAAGTTCACGAAAGGATACGTTTTGTAGAATATATAATGGCTGAACAAATTTTATAATAAAGGAAACAAGTGCTAATGTAATAAGTTCTTGCCGTTTTGGTGAACATGGAGGCGCGACCTTTGAATAATCAGTTATTTTGACTTGGTCATACCAGGGCTATAAAATATGAATTAAACCTATTTTAGTATTATATTAAAAACGTTTATTTAGTTACTATAGGCAATGTTTAGAAAATCAACTCCATTCTGATCATTTTTTTGAACATTGCCAACAAAATCTGACAAAAAAATTATAGGGAAATATAGTGATATACCATGTATAGTATTATACATACTGTATAATATGTACTGTATATATGTACATACTGTATGCTCAATCATTTGTTCTAGCCAATCAGATGCTATACATATTATACATACTGTATATACTGTATATACTATACGTACTCGAAAAGCATAGGTGCGCCTGGTCATGTGTTGGAATAATTCTGGACAGCCAAAGGTGCCGGAAATGAATTCAATTAAAGAACTTTAAGTCCACAGAATACATTGAATTGATAATTTTAAGTAAATTGATAATTTTAAGTAAATAGTAATTTAAGTAATTTGAACTGAAATGATAATATGCTCCCGGAAGATTAGCAAGTGAGATTGGCCAGGTATTATCATAATAGTAGAGTGAGTGAGAAGCAGTATCAGCCAGTAGTTTCTCGCCTGCTCAAAGCAGGCTGGCTGTTAAATAAGAAAATAGCAGAATCAGGAGACTGTTCTACCGTGTGTGGTGGGCAGGGCTGGGTCGAGAAAATGCAAGCTAAATGAATTGATTCTTGTGAGAAAGAGTGTGTAGAATTGGCTTTTTTCGACGACTTTATATATTGATGTTTTGGTGGCTTTTTCGAATTTGCATGAATTTTCAATCAGTCAATGATTTTATTTTTACCGACTGATACTGATTCTTGATGTGTTTAACTGGGCTAAGTTGGACATGTGTCATGTGTCTTTCGCTTTAGCATAAAAAACTGATCTGATATCGATTTTAACTACCAATTGATCTTATGATGCAGATACCGGCCGAGTCGAGTACCTATCGTAAACCCCTGCTCAGTGCTCCCTGTCTTTTCGATCTGTTGACCTCATCAACATGCAGTATGTACTGTATGTACTGTATGTACTGTATGTACTGTATGTACTGTATGTACTGTATATACTGTATGTACTGTACGTACTGTATGTATTGTACATACTGTATGTACTGTATGTACTGTATATACTATACGTACTGATACTAAAATTTTTCAGGTATCAAATAAATGGCATATTACTAAAAAAGCATTCAATTTGTATATACTTCATTGTGTTTATCTAAAAATTCCAGATGATTTTCTTTTGTAATTCCATGCTTATCACGTAGATGGTTAATAAAATTTGATGTATTTCCACTTTTTTAACTGTATGAATAAGGATTTTTGCATGTGCCAGATAGATCAGCTTCACATACTTTACAATAAGCAACAAAAGGATTATTTGAATCTGGGTGAAAAAAATAAGTTGTATAGCTACGATTGCTATGAGATTTAATGCTTGTCTCAACAGAGGTGTTATGAATGGGCCTTTGCTTTTTCTGAACCAAACTATTAGCACTTGAAGCTGATAGCATTGTTGATATTAATGGTGCAGTTTTAGTTTCAGAATTATTTGCAAAGGATAAAGGTAAGTCTTGCTCATTTTCCATTATATTATTTTTTCTAATTTCTACAAAATAAAGAAAAAATATTAAACCTGGAAATTATTACTTATAACTTATAATTAAGCCAAGCTTTTAAAGATTTCTAGTAATAATACTTACTAAACTGCTATGAAAATATAATAAATACTTGATACTGTGAAGGCGAATTGTCCAAACTTTCTCACTAGAGTTCAAAAAGTTATAGTATTAATTTATATATAAAAGATTTTTAATTTAGAAATCCAAGGCTGACTTTTCTTGAAGCTATCTAGCTATTCGTCATTGATTAAGACAATAGTCGCAGATACAACTATTATGTTAATGATTCATATCACCAGGCTTTTTGATAAAGTATAAACACCTTATATGTATTTTTTTTTTTCTACCTTTAAATAAAGCTCTGGTCAGTAAGACTTTTTGTTTTATTGGAATAATCTTTTTTTTTACGTTTTACTGTATAAGTATGAAATAATACTCATAGGTGTTATTTTGAAAATCGGGTTTTTCAAAAACAATTCATATAGTCTTGAATTAGTACTCATGGGTGTCATGCATCCTAATGTAGCACATAATCTACTGTTGTGATGTATAGTCGATACTCCATATTCGTACACTCTATAAGTGCACTTCACATACACTTTTCCTATAAGGATAAGTGCACTTAATTATTTAATATTATATATAGATTATCTACCATGATGAATATTTTATAAATGCACTTTTACCCAACATCATGTGTTTTTATTGAAGGTTGGTTATATGAATTTAGAAAATCTTCTCTTATTTTGAAATAATGCACATGGGCGTATTCGAAACAATGCGAAGGTCAATTAATTAGTGTGCAGGTGGGTGTTATTTCGCACTTATACTAATGAGGTTTTTTTTTTATTCGCTATAGTACTCTATTGAAATTCACGCTTATACACAATGATAAGATATATATACGTATGTATGTATGTATAGTAGCATGCATACATTTTTTTATTTCGTTAAAGTATGAAATATGCGATATGCATACATATGGTTAGGGATAGGTTCGGCTACGAATGTTCATAGCCAATTTGAAAAATACTGAGATGATTTTTTGTTCTTGAGCTTTTAATTAAAGTTGTTCGGAATTAAATTC